AGTGAACTAAGTAGCTCCTCTGTGGCTACAATACGTCCACTTAAGAGCGGCCGCTAGCTGTGTAGGCTAGCTGACCTTCAGGGCAAGTTTCTCAACAATGCCGTCATTTCTCCTGCTTGTCTTCACTCTGAGGTAAGCGAAGAAAGAAAGGCAGCAAAAGAGTGTCTTGAAACGTGAGTGTGAGAAACAAATTCTCTGTATCCTGCCTTTTGTCCGGCTCTGTCTGAGGTCAGAAACTGATTCCGGCGCTCGGCCCGGCGCTGACTTATTTACACTGTCTGCTGCATCCAAGTAGCTTTGAAAGTGGATTAACCACAGAATTAAGTTACTTTACTGTAACCCTGCACACCCAGTCAATGCAATAGATCTCTCTCTCTCTCTGTCTCTCTCTCTCTCAGACCTGTGCCCAAGGATGAGGGAAAGAGAAAACCTTTGGGAAAAAAACTGTCCTTGGGAAAAACACATAATGAGTCTCACATACTTGTTTTGCTGTCTTTTTGGGGATATTCTATTGGGGAATATTCTGATATGTACACTGTAAAACCTAACGAGTTCAGTGAACTCTGATGGTTTAAGGAAACCGATTACCTTAACCATTTAAGTAATTCAAATCTGATGAGTTAGGCAAACTCAAATGGTTTAAGGAAACCGATTGCCTTAAACCATTTAAGTAACTCAAGTCTGATGAGTCAGGCGAACTCAAATGGTTTAAGGAAACCGATTGCATTAACCATTTAAGTAACTCAAATCTGAGTATTTTTGGACTTATATAATAATGGTACTAACTCAATACAATTAAGTAATTCTAACTTACATTTACTGCCTTTACACGACTGTAGCCGCTCAGGTTCAGCTAACTCAGTTTCTTCCATTAAAAGCTAAACTAGGCTTTAATTTTAACAAATTTATACTGAATGTCAGAACATTTTTGACAATAATGCTTTAAACAGTTTAACTTAATACTGTTCTGGACCATCAATACTGACAGTTCAGCCCAGAATGCAGAAGTGGTCAGCTTACTCAGCACTGATCTACAGTCAGTACCGACTGAGATTAGTTGAGCTCAAATTTTAGAAATTTACAGCCCAAAATTTGGAAAATAAGTAAGCGCCCAAAGGGAAGGTAGGCTGGGTAGAATGACAACACAGAGATGGGAGGTTAAACAAGGTGGAAAGATGCCCAATATGCCACCAAGAGCCAATAGGAATGATACAAATTTTAACCAAGCTTTCATCAAGTAAAGCTGAAAAGTCTTAACAAACTAAACTGCAAGAGGTTGATTCAGCTCAAAGATCCCATTTGAATGTCCAAAGTTGTCAAAAGTTACATGAAATGCATGAGACGTCCAAATCGTCTGAATGTAAACCCAACCCTGCCTGTACCCACCTCTAAAGTCAACTTAAATTAAAATAGTGAACATAAAACACTTGAATAAGGTTACCTTAACTCAAGATATGCTAACAAATGATTTTACTCAAAAAGTTACTATCTCAACAATTCATTTCTGAGTTGGGTCGAATTTGTCAGATTAAGTTACTTCAACTTTCTGTAGTATTTAAGTTGTGTTAATTTACTTAAAATACTCTTCTGTCTGTAGGACTTATGCAAATTAATTGATCTCAACTAACTTTACCTAAGTAACTAAGGATTATACAAGAAATGCTATGTGTTACTAGATTTGCATTAGTAAGTGTAACAGATGAGTAAAGTAAACCCAAAAAAGTTATTTAGTGCAACTGTTTCATTTCAGTGTGTTACAGCCAAATAGTGCAGTGCCCACACTTAAACGTAACCCTAATATTAATACCCAAATTATTTATTTTTCATGGTGTCATGTTTATCGATAAGTCACAGAACTCACATGTACAGCTGAATGCAAACGTTGGAACACCTTGAGCCAAATTACATGTTTTATTGACTTTCTAAGTGACAATAGGTTAACCCCTTAAAGGCCATTGTAAGGCCCAAAGTTTTATTACACACTCCTATAGCCTAAAAATAGCTAGCCAGTTTGCACTGATGTCCCTGTTACTGAATAAGTCTTAGTATGTAATAAGCCTGGGGTTGACATACAGAACTACAGGGAACTTAAATCTGGCATTTTCTGCAACTTTTATAGCGCAATTTCCATTTATTTGCTGAGTTTGACAGGTTTGCACAGACGACATTTTTTGTTTCCTCAGAAAATCGACAAAATGTACTTTTACCAGGGTCGGCTAAACTTTTGCACTCTACTGGATGTTATTTTACACTCTTGGTGCCTGTACTATTTTAATTTGGAGCCGAGATTTAGGTTGTTTGTATGGATAAATTATTGAGTTGGCTTGACAAAAGCAGGCCACTGTTCTTCGTTGCATTATTTTATGTTTTGTCATTATGGGCCACAGTTTTCAAGCTAGAACCACAAAACTTTACAGGATGGTAGAGCATATATGGGTATTGTGCGCTTGTGCTTTTGGGATCAAACGTATGTAAGGTTTTTATACAACATTCAAAAAACATGATTTTTTTTCATGGAGGAAATGAGAAAAGTTGAGAAAATTTACATCTAACTGCCACATCTGATGTGACAAAGGACACCAATCACACTGCCCCTCACACACATACTAGCCAAACAAAAAACTTAGCAACCAACTGGGGTACCATAGCAATGCCCTAGCAACACCTTACCAACCACCTGGGACACCATAGTGATGGCCTAGCAACACCTTAGCAACCACCGGGGATACCATAGTGACGGCCTAGCAACACCTTAGCAACCACCACAGCAATGGCTTGGCAATACCTTAGCAACCACTTGAGATCCCATAGCAATGGCCTGGCAACACCTTAACAACCACCTGGGATACCATAGCAATGGCCTAGCAACACCTTACCAACCATCTGGAATAGCATAACAGTGGCCTAACAACACCTTAGCAACCACCTGGGATACCATAGTAATGGCCAAACAAAAACCCTAGCAACCACCTGGGATAACACAGCAACAGCCTAACAACACCTTACCAACCACTTGGGATACCATAGCAATGACCTTGCAACACCTTAGTAACCATCTGGAATAACAAAGCAGTGGCCTAGCAACACCTTAGCAAGCACCTGGGATACTCTAGTAATGGCTTAGCAACACCTAAGTAACCATCTGGAATAACATAGCAGTGGCATAGCAACACCTTAGTAACCACCTGGGATACCATAGCAGTGGCTTAGCAACACCCTAGCAAGCACCTGAGATAACACAGCAATGGCCTAGCAACACTTTAGTAACCACCTGTGATAACAAACCAACAGCCTATCAACACCTTAGCAACCACCTGGGATACCATATCAATTAGCCAGCAACATCCTAGCAACCACCTTAAATAACATAGCAAAACTTAGCAGCCACTTGGGATATCATAGCAGCAACACCTTAGTAACCTCCTGTGACTTCATAACAGCAGCTTTTTCAAGCCATTGACAAACTTAAAACTTAAATTTGCTGAAATGCTTTAAAAATTGTTTACCTATAAACAAATTAGTTATTGGCTGGTATTATTTTCGGTGTTTTTAGTCAATTTGCCCTCATGGAAAGCTGCTAAAACTCCATGTTTTCATGTTTTCATCATGGGGACATTTGGTTACACACAAAGACATCGCTGTAGACAGTAGGTCACTAATGTGATGCTGCCGGTGGGAGACTGGGCTTCACACACGTCCCCCATACACTGGCTCTATTGTGCCTTTATAAACACACTCCAGAACAGCATGAGAACACTCCAACAAACACTCTCCAGCACATGGAGTGCTCACTAAACCGCTTACACTTGTCTGTCTGGAGAAAGCGCATTACATTATGTAAGTCAACCTCAAACCGACATGAAGCTGCTCCAGCCGTCGGCTGCGTCGCCGCTAAACCGCACCTACACCCATCAGACATAACATTATGACCACCTCCTTGTTTCTACGCTCGTTGTCCATTTTATCAGCTCCACTTACTATATAGGTGCACTTTGTAGTTCTACAGTTACAGACTGTAGTCCATCTGTTTCTCTGCATACTTTGTTAGCCCCCTTTTACCCTGTTCTTCAGTGGTCAGGACCCCCATGGACCCTCACAGAGCAGGTACTATTTGGGTGGTGGATCATTCTCAGCACTGCAGTAACACTGACACAGTGGTGGTGTGTTAGTGTGTGTTGTGCTGGTATGAGCGGATCAGACACAGCAGTGCTGCTGGAGTTTTTAAAACACTGTGTCCACTCACTGTCCACTCTATTAGACACTCCTACCTTGTCAGTCCACCTTGTAGATGTAAAGTCAGAGACGATAGCTCATCTGCTGCTGCACAGTTTGTGTTGCTCATCCTCTAGTCCTTCATCAGTGGTCACAGGACGCTGTTGGCTGGATAGTTTTGATTGGTGGACTATTCTCAGTCCAGCAGCGACACTGAGGTGTTTAAAAACTCCAGCAGCACTGCTGTGTCTGATCCACTCAGACCAGCACAACACACACTAACACACCACCACCACGTTAGTGTTACTGCAGTGCTGAGAATGATCCACCACCCAAATAGTACCTGCTCTGTGAGGGTCCATGGGGGTCCTGACCACTGAAGAACAGGGTAAAAGGGGGCTAACAAAGTATCAGAGAAACAGATGGACTACAGTCTGTAACTGTAGAACTACAAAGTGCACCTATATAGTAAGTGGAGCTGATAAAATGGACAATGAGTGTAGAAACAAGGAGGTGGTCATAATGTTACGCCTGATTGGTGGAGGCTTTGCTGTAACAGGAATTGGCTGGTGGTGATGTAATAATTGCACTATAATAGGAGTTTTCACTACAAGCTACTGTGTGTGGCTGCAAATATACAGTTCTCATCTTTGTCTTCATGGATCATAAGCCTCGCTGTGTAGCTTCACTGTCGGCAGGCTGTTTTCCCCCTTACCCCAAAAGTCTCTCGGGGTCTGAATTTTGCTTTTTTGGTTTTGCTGTGGAGCTACTAAGCTAACAACTAACACAAGCTTAAACTCCACCAATTAGCATCAGGCAAACTGTAGTTCTACTGTAGTCCATCTGTTTCTCTGCATACTTTGTCAGCCCCCTTTTACCCTGTTCTTTAAAGGTCAGAGCAGGTACTATTTGGGTGGTGGGTCATTCTCAGTACTGCAGTGACAGTGAGTAGAAACAAAGAGGTGCACATTTTGACACATATTTTGAAAACTGTATACATAGTTAGATTAGCTTATGTGTTTTCTGACACTGTATGACAGACAGACAAAATTCAGGCCTCAAAACACCATTTTTTCCCATTTTGGAGGCTGAAAGTTCCGAGCGCTGACCCCACTTCCAAACTAAGCTGCAGCCTAAGCATTAACACTGTAGCTCCAGTACATTATTTCTACATCTACTCTTCAGACAAAGTTAATCGACCTGAAAATGGCAGTAAAAGACCAACACGGCACTGCATTTATAAATAGTTTATTAGTAGCGGTTACTGTTGAGAGTTTGGCTGCTTGTTCTACTGTACATACCAGAGCAAATCAGTCTCGATAGAAAACGGGGCTACAAAAATAAAGTATATACTGAAAAAAGTTTGTTGGAAAGACGAAATCTTGTTACAGAAGTGAAACGTTGAGTTATAGGCTCCATTATCGCAGACAGATCCGACACGAGCGGAAATGAGATGTACCAGATATATCAGATATGACCGTCCATTATGAGTCCATGCTGAGGCTGTGCCATGGAATCCCATCAATGAGGCAAACTCCTATGAGTCCATTGTCCATTCGCCTCTGTTCATGGCACACGTCCAAAGTCCAAAAAAAAAATGTCCAGTCCAAAAATCCAAACCTTTACAGCGGTCCACATCAAACCACAGCCAGTGAGTCAGTTATAGATTGTTTTCGCCGGCTGATGTCAGATAGAACCAGTGATTCTGATTGGATGAGGCATTCGGTCCTCTTTATCGCCCTCTCGCTCGCCTTAATCGAGTCACGCTCACCTTATATCTGTAAAGAAAACATACACAGGAACACATTTAGCATCCATTCCCAGATTCCTGCAAATGATTCCTCAAAACCCACAGATTAAAGTGATAGTTTGGCCAAAAATGAACTTCACACAATTTTTCACTCAGCCCCATGTAGTCAAGATGTGCCAGAAAATGTTCAAAATCCAAAAAAAGATTTTTTTTAAGATTAACAGACTAAACTAGACTTGTATAAGATTAATCAGCTAATTATCTTATTTAGACAAATGAGATAATTACACAGATTGTTTGAGAGAACTGAAAGTTTCGAAGTTCTCCACCATGAAAGAAGAAATTTTTATTTATTTAAGTACTTAACTGAACAAAAGTCTTTCTTTATAAGCTCAAAAAACATTCCAACACATTGCATTCATAAAATAAATTGTCTTGAAATTTCTTCTTTCATAGTAGAGAACATTAAGCCCACTGATTAATCTCATACATACGATCTAGTCTGGTAATCTTAAACTGAAAAAGCTAAATCTGTTGTTCATTTTCAGGATTTTCTGGCTTGTTTAGATTCCAGTGTTTGCAGCGACTCCATATGAGCATCTGAATTACTTGTTTCTGCCGTTTCTAAGCCAGTGTGTTCATGTTTTTGGACTTTTCATGCCTCATTTTGAGAAGCACTTTCCAAAATCTTAATTTAAGCATTTTTAAGACCATTTTAAAGACATTCTTGTTTCTTTAAAAGCAAAGTTTTGACAATAATGAGCTTGAAGCTTGTTCTGGCATTCACATTACCAGACATTGTGTCCCAAACAAAACAAGATTAATATGCTAGTTTTTGCTCATTTTAGATTATTTTTGATTATAATTTTGCTCGATTTGCTGCTTTTTCTTGCTGTTTACATTCTCTTATATTTTGACACATATTTCTTATATTTTGTTGTTCTGCAGTGTTTAGTATTTCGCTAATGTAGCTAATAGGTACAGAAAGCTTCAACCTCATCAATTATCATCATGCCAACTGCATGACGACATCGTCACACGCCTCAAACCATGTCAAGCTGTCCACTCAAACAAACTTTCTTATATGCTTTTTGATGTTATCTATAAAAATACTGCCTCTGTTGGAACAAAAACTCCAATCTTTACAAGAGAAGACATTTAACTTTGAATGGACGGCATCAGACCAACGTCTTACTCTTTTTGGATCATTTCTTATGGTCCAATAATTTCACAAAATTTTGACAGAATATAAAGGCCAACTGGCATTTTTAAATCATGTGAAATAATTAAAAACAACAATGGAGATGTAAGGTTTTGTTCCAACAGTGACAATTTATAAAAAACAGCAGCATCAGGCTGTGGTTCAAATCTTGTAGCCTGAATAGACCTTTTTCACACTTCAGTGTTCGTTCGTGGAAGAGTAAATAGTAGTGTTAAACAGCTTCCGTCATGCTGTAAACAATGGCTGATTATGCCTGAAATCATTGCTGCGTCCATAATGCACCAGTATTTCAACCAAACAGCCTCACTTAAGTTTCCACTTGATCAAGTTTAAAAATGTTCAGCTTCAGCTGAAAAGCTCCGCTCATCATGTGTCACTTTTAACGAGGTAATGAATCAAAAAAGAGGGTAAAACTGAACTGAAGAGCGAATGTGGGCTCCACAGCAAGACGGATTTAATCACATTTCTGATTAAAAATGCTTCACTGGTGTATTTACAGTCCTAGGGAGATGGTCGTCACGGACGTTTGATTAAAAACCCGGAGAAACTGACTCCTCTCCACTGTAGCTCGGTGATCAGTAACTGTAATGTAGAAATATGACGCTGTGTCCCTGTGCTGGTTGTGTTCAGGGCACTTGCTAATGTTGCAAATGTTTACATGGACTGAGTAGGAAAAACTAAACCTGGTGGACTTTTTCTCCAAAATAAAGCGCAGTGAGAGCAGATCTGTTGAGGGATGTGTGATGTGGTGTTGAACATAATAATCCACTCCTCTCCTTCTCCCGCTTTGCAAAACCTGTTTCAGCCAAATTTCTCACAGTTCTGATGCAGTCAAACATGGGACACGCGGCACAGACGTCTGCCGCAGGGTACTCCGTTTACCACAGTCCGCTTTAGCCATGTCAGACTAGCCTTTCCACCCATGTTGGAGGAACTATCAGACATGCCAACTGCTGTACTGTTAACCGCGCTGAGGCCGATATAAGATTTTTGAGGGAGGCTGAAAATCGTCGACCCTTCATTGCCGCTCTGTTAAACGGTGCAGGCGGCAGTTCAATAACGCTGCTACTTACAGCCGGATGTGACGACGCAGAACCTACATCTGTGTTCTTTGATTTCATTTGTAATAGTAATAATGGTCCAATTATTTTGCCTCCCTGCATGTACCTCTCCATCATTTATGTATTTAAAAAATATATTTCAGGCCAAAACTATTTAAAAATATCATATTGAGACATCATGCGGTGTATTCATGACAGTTTTATGTTCTGTAAGTGAGCTTTCAGAGGCATTACATTCTTCAGACGTCTGGTTCCTATCACCGCCACTGTGAACAATCCTGGCTCAGTAAGTTTCTCCAGAACGGAGCATTTCCAATCAATCCATTTTAACTGACATTACTTTTTGATGCTTTTTGATCTGTGGCCGGGAGTCCAAGAGAGCACAGTTGGCCTCGTTCTCTGTGTGGGTAGGATGGCCCCCCCGTCTTCCCCATCACTCAAACACGATGCTAGTCAGCGCAGGAAATCTGATGTGTCATCAAACTTTCGCTTTAACGAGTTTCCATCCACCCACAGCGCACTCCATGATCAGTGGAGGACGAAGTACACAAACCATGTACTTGAGTTAAAGTAGAGAGACCCAAGGTAAAATAAAAGTTCCTCCCTTTAGACCTCCACTGAGTATTTCCCTTTAAATGTACTTAAGTATCGAAAGTAAAAGTACTAAAAGATTAATTATGGCTCTGATGTCCTATTATCATTTTTGTAACAAGACTCTGCTTCATTAACTCATTTTAGGTGAAAATACTCCAGTGTCGCTCTTGATAAACCAGTCTTTTAATAGAATGTCATTAATTAGTGACGCTGATGTCTATTAATATTATCATTAAGCACAAAACACTGAAGGCAAACAGTTTCCATCAGGTAGAACTGAGTGGCTCTGAAATCACTTTGCGAACAAGCAAAGTTTCAGTTTAAGATTTATTTACAACTTAGTTTAAATAAAAATTAGTTTAAATTTAAACAAGTTTAAGTTTAATAAAACTTGCTTTAAACTCAGATTCACAAATGAGTTTCCTTTACTATATTACATCTGTAGGTCTCTGTTCATAAACATAAACTAGCTAAAACAAATTTACTATAAAATAAATTCGTATAAATTCAGAAAAAACAAACATGCCAGTCACAACTGCATATGTGTACATATTTCTATATTGTGGTTTATTTACACAAAGTTAGGTTAGTTCATCATTTATGTTGAATAGACTCTGCCAAAATTTTACGCTGCTGCACTGACGCTGAACCGTGTGCTGCACTGGGTCGGTATGACCAACAGGTCAAAACAAGCTCAAAACAAAGTGCGCGCTGTGCCCTGATTGGTGTTCTTGCTTCGCGCTTCTTTCGTTTTGACGTGTTACATTTTTATACACACATAAACCAAAAGGAACAACGGATTTCTCATCATGTAGACCCAAAATGGAAATACTTCAGTAAAGTTAACATACACAAAAAAACTACTTAAGTACAGAAACGAATTACATTTACTTAGTTACTGTCCACCACTGTCCATGATTAGTATCACCGCTCTCTAAAAACATTAATCTAGTACTCTGCCTAATGTATATAACTGTATTCACTAGGATATGAATGTTAAAAGCTAATGCCAGATCAGTAACCTTACATTGCGACTGACACTCAGTCACTGATCTGATATCTCTGCAAACAGCAGTGATCAGAACAGTCCCTCCACCTCAGCTGATCAGGACCAATAACCACGGACTGGTTGTGGCTTTGACTAGCAGATGCGCTTGGCTGGGCTCGGTTACAGGGACGTCTCCTACCTTTGGACTTACTCAGACAGCAACCTTTGACTACGGATAGAATGCTTCTGAACTTTTCACACATCCTTTTCCTTTCTTTAGATCTCACCCTAGAGTGGGCTGGAAATGGAGGGATTGAAGGAAAGTAAAGGAAAGAGAGAGATTTGGAACTGGGGCACATAAAAATGTAAAGGAAGGTAGGGAAGCGACAGACAGCACGTCATGAAAAAAGTGAAATGTTGGACGACGCAGGAGGGAGAGATCAAAACATTCGAGTCGGGTGGGGGGGCGGGGGGGGGTCTGCACGTGGAAGTGTGTGTACCTGAGTGTAAGCGAGACTCTGTGTGGTGTTTGGACACGCAGACACACTCCAGATGATCCTCCAGCTGCACCTGCACCTCCCGCAGCTTCGGCCTCCTGCGCACGTACTCTACCTTCGCCACCTGAGAGAGAGAGAGAGAGAGAGAGAGAAAGAGAGAGAGAGAGAGAGAGAAAGAGAGAGTGAGAGAGAGAAAGAGTGAGAATGAGAGAGAGAAAAAGAGAGTGAGATGAGAGAGAGAGAGAGAAAGAGTGAGAGAAAGTGAGAGAGAAAGAGAGTGAGTGAGAGAGAAAGAATGTAAATAAGTTAACATCTTAACTTTAATGTTTACGTACAAGATTTTATTCCAAGTAATTTTGTTGGTGCATTCAACATGACATGTTCAAACAGCAGGGCAGCTGGTGTTTTCTGAGATATGGGTTTTATGGACAGATGAGTGTAGATTTCTGTTTGGAACTGCCTGAATTGTGAAAAGCCAAAAATGCAACCGACTTCTAAGACTGAACTTTGGAGGTGTGGAAAAATATTCTGGAATATTTCTGAAAAACTGAGAGCAGGTTTCCCTAAAAGAATGAAAGCTATAATACAGACGAGAGGTAGACATACAAAATCCTGAAAAATCCGATATAATGATACAATATAAAATACATAATATATATTTTATATAATATATATCTAGTTGATGCTTCTGTGTGATTTTCTGTTGAACTTTTTCGCCGATTTTGTGATGAAAATATGAGTTTCTACTAAACGGCTGTTTTAACTGGAACTTTTTTAAATGAAACTGTGGCCTCTGACTTTTGCACAGTTCTGTATGTACAAACCTATATGTAATAGTAATATATCCTGTTTCTGTTATATCTGCAGTCGTATGCAAAAGTTTGGTGAAAGTATGATTTCTGCAATACACGTATATCTCGCATCTCCATTTTTGACATAATTTGAAAATGGACTAAAGGAAATGACCTAAAATGACTCTAAAAAAAGTCTGGTTCCATTGACTTACATTAAAAGTAAAATAGGTTTTTTCTTTCTCTTGTAAAGTTACCGTTTTGCACAAAGTCTGGACCATTTTGAACCCTGTTTTCTCTGGTTTTGCTGGTAAATCAGGGCAATTTCGACCTAAAAATGCACAAAAACACCCCTACACACACAAACACACACACAAACACACACACACACACACTTCTATTCAGCTATCGATTGCAGAAAGGTGAGGTCAGGTAAAAGAAGCAGTTGGCTCACACTGTGATGTACCTCAGGTGAGTCTCTCATCTGTTTGATTCTTTCGGCAAACACACATCACACACACACACACACACACACACTCCTTGTACTAACGCACTCCTTTCCCACTCGTGCCAACCCCCTGAAGGCCTGATTATACAACACTCCATTCAGGTCTCAACACACAGACGCTCACACACACAAACGCACACAGCTCCAGAACCACAGAGATAATTGGATGGCGGAGAAACAGCTCCAGCAGTTCGTGCCAGGTTACGCTACTGAACCCTCCCGTGGGGAAGTTTTGGGCTGAAACCCTGTAAGTTCACTAGCCATGAAACCCTTGTGCTCCTCCCTTACACTGCCAGCCAAATAAAGCCTTTTCCAATTGAAATTAAAAATGTTTATACAATGGTACAAGTTGACAAATGAGCATCAACATATTAGCAGCCAAGAGCATCACTGCTGTCAGGACCGTGACCGAACTCACTCTAGGCCCCAAAATGCGTTGTTATCACAACACTCAGCCATGATACGACTTTCCTGTGATTTGAAATTTTTACATGCTAAGTATCGTGACATGACGCACTGCCAGTCAGACGTCTTTAAACACCTCCATTTTCCAGTTTCTATGGACTAAATGTCCATAGAAACTGGGTTAGAAACTAGGTAGGTAGTTAGGTAAGCAGTAAAATCATTGGTTAAGACCATATAGCTGTTCTGCAGCAATGGAAGGAATTCATCTTTGAAAGCTGATGCAAATAATTCCTACAGGTGTCACAACTTTTGTTGATTACTTACAAACCTCTGTCTGTATAAAAGCAAGTGTTGGAATCACTATACCCTCAGGGCAGTATTTGGACAATACTGCACTGCAGGGTGTGGTATATTGCCTGGAGTAATGATGAGAAAAAGCAATTAACAAAGGAAAACAAACAGACCATTATAAATTATAACCCTTTAAGGTGTCGGCTTTTCCTTTAGACAAACTGCGAAGAAAAGCCAGGGTGTCAGTGAGTACACTTTCCTACATACATCATCAAAAGGCACTTGGAAACTGGAGGAAACTCTGACAGGAAGAGGTCTGGCAGGCCTAAAGCCCCAACAGAATCAGGAGACAAGTTTCTGAGAGTCAATGGCTTGGCTCACAGGACGACACCTAAACACTGGTCGAAGTAAACACGGGTCTCAGTTTCAACTGCAAAGACTTTGAACTGCGAAGGTTTGACCAGCCGAGTGGCCGCAATGGTGCCATTGCTACGATGGCAGAGGCCTTCCCAGGTCATGCAGCACCGCCAGTGCACTAATGAAGACTGGAAGAAGGTCTTATGGACCAATGAATAAAAATTTCAAATCCATGCAGGCTTTTTGTTCGGCGTCGAGTAGTTTTCTTGAAATCTTGATTTCTTTTTTTATCACCAATTGTTTATTTGTTGTTTGCTTTAATTCCAGAATACACAGAAGCATTAAACTGGGCTAAAATTCATAGACCTGGAAAAATGGGGGTGTTCTTAAACTTTTAATAATAATTTTTATTTATATAGCACTTTTCATGCCGGTGGAACCTCAAAGTGCTTTACAGACAGGTATCTATTTAGAATCAGAAGAAAATGACACAGATCAAATTAGAAGATAAAAACCACAAGACGTTTTAATTAAATGCTGAGTTAAAGAGAGACGGTTTTAGATGGTTCTTCAAAGTGAGCTCTGAGCTTGACTGTCTAATAAATGTGAATTGAGCTCCACAGTTTAGAAGCAGAATAACTGAACGAGTCTCTATGTTTTCTGTATTTTAGGGAAGATGTTTGCAGAAGATCAGTATCTGCAGATCTAAGATCATAAACAGACAGACACTCTGTGATGTAAACGGTGCTTTTAGGTAATTTAGAGCCTTAAAACTAGTAGCAGAGCTTTGAAAAATCTATCCTGAACGATACAGGCAGCCAGTGCAGCTCTTTTAAAGCGGGAGTGATCTGATCTCTCTGTTTGGTTTTTGTTAGGATGCTGACAGCATTTTGTACGAGTTGTAAAAAGATGTATTGTTTTCTTAGGAAGTCCAGCAAGGAGAGCATTACAGTGATCAACTCTGACTGTAACAAATGATTGAACTAATTTCTCTGCGTCGCTCTGAGAGAGAAAAGGCAGAACTTTAGCGATATTTCTCAAATGATATTAAGCTAACAGAGTACAAAGAGAAAAGCAAAAGCCCTAACACTGAAACTTGAGGGACTCCACAAGAAATGCTGAATCTTTTTGAGGAATGATTTCCAATTGAAACCATGAACTGTCTGACTGCAAATGATGCCTCCGAAAGAAATCATTCGCTCTTTTATGTAATGAATTGTTGACTTTGTTAACTTTACTTGCAAAGCAGAATTGAGAAGCTGATACAGCAGCTTTCACAATCCCTCCTCCTAAATTTATATATTTGTGCAATCCAGAGTGACTTATACTAGGAATACTGCCCAAAGACTTAATTAGGTATAGCAGTGGCATTTCTGCTAGAACGTAGAATCAAACCTTCAATTTTCCATGTGCAGGACAATGGAGTTATCCATCAACTGCTCCTACCAATGCCACCCCTAAAAGAGGCCTTGGTATCTCCCTAAAAACAGAACTCTCAGCAACATATTGTAGACAGTGAATTTTGGTATGCTATTAGTCTACTTATAGACTAATGAAAATGAAAATTCTTAACCAAAACTGAAAGGTTATTTTTTTGCTCCAATAACAATAATCTGTGTGTTGGGTAAGAGAACTGACAGAGAACTACAGGAGACTAATTTTGTTTAAAACAGCTTTCAGAACAGTGCTAAATAGTATGTGCATGTTTTTCCCTGTAACTGTTTAAACAGTGGATTATTAAGGTGTATAAATAAGCCATTAGGTTACCATCTCTGTAGTTGCAGTTTCCATGCATGTAGCTTTGAAACTCACTACTGATGTCTTACGTTTAGCAAACAAGTCTATTTTTGGTTTGTCAATTAAAGAGAAGAAACAGCTATAAAATCCAGTTGGATCTAACGAACACACAAAACTTTGCAGTAAGAACCTTTAAAATGAAATGTGAAATAGTTGATTACCAAAAGTCATTTCCATTAAAGAATTGTTTAAATCAGTTAATGCTAAATACAAACTGTGGCAGTTCTAAGCTGTAGTGGGCCGTGTTTGTGATTCACTGTTGATTTGCTGCCACTCAAACAGTCTGAATGGCGTAGGAGAGCAAAGGAAACAAATAGCACTTTTAATCACTATTTCTCATTTTCATTATCATTTAAATTATAAATATTATATTTATTTTGATGCTAATATATTGGATTTTTTTAGCCTTTTCTAATAATCTAATAATCTGTCACTTGAAACCATTTTTATACAAAAATTATCAGTGAAATGTCAAAACACAATAAAATGATTATTAACTGAACGATAAAACATCCACACGTCACATTTCAATACTAGTTTTTCATGTAAAATAGAACAATGATAAATAGACCTTTTTCTGGTAATCAAACTAATTCTGTCCCTATTAAAGGAAAACTACCATCAGTTCTGTTAAAAAACAAATACATTGTGGCTGTTTAAAAAACTGCGGTGCACTACCACCATTTACGCAACCAAATGAAAGCCTTCCTTGTCATTACCAATGGGGCATGAAGTCCCACAAGAAAATGATACTCAATGTTTCTGGGAAATTTTCAACATATTAATGGGGGGTCATTATGTGGGGGTCTTCACTTGCAATATATATATCAGTGAACATGAAATATCAGCAGAATATTGGTGCGAGTGGACAACTGAAAGATCAGGTGTTTCTAGAGGCAAATGAACTGACGAAGTTGCCTTTGTGCACTGTCATTGTGGGGCTTGTATTAATGTTGTTAACTATTTAAAAACATTTAATGTTTCTTTTTCATTGTTAAGTCAATTATTTTTTCACTTATTTTTATGACAAAGTGCCGTCACAGGCCCACTACAGGCCACTGGCTCCCCTCAGTACAGAGCCAAGGTCCACCAAGGGCTGCTTTGCAACCCACTTGTGGTCCTCAACCCTGGCTGAGTAATCCTGCTGTAACCAACCTGAATTTGTCTGTATCAAATGAGAAGTACTGTTAGTACCGTAACCAAACTAATGGCTCATATGAGAAGCCTCACTGTCGTCTGCGCTACACAAACTAATAGCTTCGGTTTCTGTCAAAAATACATAAAAACAGAACATCCTACGGCAGCAAATCAGGTTACGTAAGAGTAATAGTGAGCGGGGTGACTAGATGGAGAGATAGTCCATGTACGATGGGATGAGACACTCTCTCTTTTGTTTCCTCTTGCATAAAAGCGTGTCGGGTTCTTCCTCTATCTGTTGCTGCTCTTTCACTGTCCTGACCTTTACCAAAAAATCTTTACTGGACAAGACTGGGAACAGTGTGTCTGTGTGTGTGTTTCTTTATGCGCTGGTAAATTGAGCACTGTGCAGCTGCAGAGCAGAGCTGGTGTTTCTGGAATATTCTGGTGTGCCATACACTGTTCTTGGTCCAGGGTTTGTCTCAATGGTGCAGAGGCCCTTGAGCAGAGCCTGGCCACAGTCTGGAGCTTCTGGCACTGATCACACAGAGAGCTTTTACTGAGCGAGGCAGAGAGGAGAAAGGAGAGAAGAGGGGAGTCGATGGGAGCGAAAGAGGATGAGAGGAGTTTATGTTTCTAAGCAGCTGTGTGGCAGTGCATGTTGCCACTTCTACCGTAATGATGTGAAGGTTTGTTTTATGTGTGTGCAAAGGATGGAAATGTCATAGTGGATCTTTCTTCTTGCATGTCAAGCTCAGCTGAGGTGTATTAAGCTTTTCCGCAAACAGCTGCAGTAGCAAGAAGGATGTTAGCGCCAGGTACAATCAGCATCTTCGCAAAAATATACAGGTTATAAATACTGTTTGAGACTGTTTGAAATACTGGTTGAGAAGTGTTCTCACTGTGCTGTTATTTCACCATAACATCACAGGTTTTTCACAAACACTGTATCACTCCGCTGAGATGCCGTTGCTAAGCAACGACTTTGACGGCTGTAGGAGACACTCAAACCATTTGAATGTTTTCACTTCTTACTTTGCCACAAACAGAAAATGGACACTTTTAAGATCACATTTGACCGACAGCTGATTTGGTCAGACTCTGAAGATGAGACGACACTAAATTCCCAAACTGTCATCACCACTGAGCAGCTTTTCAGTCGGCAGCTGTGACAGAAGAACAGCTGAACAACCTGGAATCAGCCAGAAATGAACCCAACACCATTCGCCAAACTAAACGGGCTGTAAGATGCTTTACAGACTGGCTGGAACAAAACAACATTAATATTGATCTGGCAAAAACTGACAAAACTGAGCTGAACTTGATATTGTGGCAGTTTTATGGCTCAGTCTGATTTGATCAGACTCTGAAGATCAGACTACATGTTTGGCAAATGGTGTTTGGTTCATTTCTGGCTGATTCCAGGTTGTTTAGCTGTTTTTCTGTCACAGCTGCCGACTGAAAAGCTGCTCAGTGGTGATGACAGTTTGGGAATTTAGTGTGAGGAGCTGGAGAACGAACTGCCAGCTGTGCAGCGAGTGGGCGGAGCTCGTTACTCTGATGTAGCAACAAGCTGCTTGTTAAGGAACTATAATTTGGTGAAGGAACTGCGAACATTAAAACATATTAAACGCCGCGTTCACGGCCCAGTTTATTAATTTATTACTTTATTTATTTAACTGTTGTATAAAAGCAACAGAACAGTCGAGGTTGTGTGTTATTGCGAAGAACATCACGGCTGTGTTGATCTACGGCGACCAAATCACAGCTGTGATGTTATTCGCGATAGCACACTCCCTCTCGGGCTCTATTGCCTAATTAGAACTCTCAGCAGAGTCATCAAGCAACACTAAAGGCCTCAGCGTACTTCCTGAGGGTTCTCGAGGGTTGCGTGAAGCTGAAACGCCTACGCGAGCTTACAAGCACGCAGACTTTCTGTGGTTTTGTGTTGCCTGTTGCGTACGCTCCACTAATACAGGTGACACTGTAACATTTTATGATAAATAAAATTGTGGAAAACGATTCCATCACAGTTCTAACTATGGCGACGTGCGAGTCCAGAATGCTGCCACCATTTAAGGTGGAACGGGAAAATTCAAACAAGAAGCCGGCGAATACAAGGCCAACAAAGTTACTTAGTACTAGTTAGTACTAGAATAGATCAGAATAGAATAATAGAATAGGAGGTTTCCATTGTTTATTTAACAAAAGCACAGTGAAACACTGGTGTCTCTGCCAAAGCGCTCAGCAGACTTCTTGCGAAACAAAGCTTCTCAAAGTCAGTATTTTATTGTTTTTTGCTAAATGTTATGACGACACGTGTTGTGCTTTTCTGATCATATCGTGGATATTGTATTTAAAGAATGCTGAGCAACTGTATGATTAAAAGGAGAACCTAACTAGTCCTGTTTAACTGGATTTAGTACCGTATAGTGTGTGAAATGCTGAATACAAAATCATTGTGCCAAAAGTTTTTGATGGCTGGTTTTTAAATGTGTCACTTGTCTGGGAATCAAAATAGTGTAATACTTTTTGTGTAATGTGAATGAGTATCGTGATATAATATTCCTGGTACATACTACTACTACTACTACTATGCGATGATAATTAATAATAGCTAGTAATAAGAACAACAATAACAATAAGAACAACAATAACAACTAAAAAGATTTTCAAGATTAATTTTTGATACAATATAAAAAAAAATACTATAGTCGCAGTTTAGTTTTCTGTGTGCTTTCCTACCTTGACAGTCCTGTGTGTCTTTTTGATGGGGTGGCAGCGCATGTTGCTGGTGTTGCAGCAGCCGGAGCAGCGGGTCACCTCCACGCACGGAGGCCAGATAAAGAAGTTTGCTGCCGTGGAGTCCACCTGACTGCGTGGAATTTCATACACCACCGTCCGAGTCTTACACGCTGCTGGGACTGCCTCCTCTACACAAACACACACACACACACACAGAGATACACACCGAGTTGTCAGTTTAAATGTTCACCTGCCTCGTACCTAAACTCAGCAGCTATTTCATCATGTAGGGCAGAGCGCGTATTTGAGAACTAAAGAATTAAAATGTTTCATACAAATCGCTGCTACAAATGATAACATAAGCTCTGTTTCCAGTTTCTACAGTTTGTCAATGATTCAATGAGTGCAAATGGTACAACTTACTCCATAGGTGGGATTGACTTTTCTGTTTGCACAAGCATTTTGCTAATATCAGTTGTTTGCACTACTAACTCACTAATATCTCTCCATAAACAGACCTGTCCTCTTAATCAATTTCTCTCTCTCTCTCTCGCTTTCTCTCCCTTTATAGCGACGTTTGCCTGAGTCACCACATGGGAGCCACCAGAGCTGCTAGAGTTACCACCAGAGCTTTAACCACCTCACCTGCATGAACTGACCCTCCTGCTGCTGCTGCATAAACTCAAACTATCTAATTAACCATTGCTCCACCTGTTTTTCCCCGTTTTGTATTCTAATATTTTATACTAACGCTGTTTGCTACCGGTGTCGACCAGAGGAGGATGGGTTCCCCTTTTGAGTCTTGGTTCCTCTCAAGGTTTCGTCCTCTTGCTCTTAGGGAGTTTTTCCTTGCCCCTGTCGCCACTGGCGACGCTCATGGGGGCTTGGACCTGGATTTTTCTGTAAAGCTGCTTTGTGACAACACCTGTTGTAAAAAGCGCTATATAAATAAACTTTGACTTGACTGTAACTGTAACAGACGGCTGTAACAGTCACTATACGCTGTTAGAAATAAAGGTTCTCTGCAGGTACGTTTTTCGTTCATCAAGGTACAAACAATGTAAATGTTCCCTCAAAGGTACAGCAGTGGTTTTAAGGTCCAGTTGTGCACCTTAAACAAGTTATCTTTTGTAACAGAACAATAAAATAAAAAGCCTGGAGGCGAGACGGGGTGTGTGGAGTCAGTACAGCTTAGAAAATATAATTTCAATGGATTATGGTACAATTATGTTCCCTGACTGAAGGTACTGAGATGTACCCTTGAGGGTCCCACCCCAGTGACAAGAGGGGCACTGACCCAGTGACAGTTACTACCTTTATGTCTGAGAGTGTAAAGTCTGGTAAACACAATTATTCAGTACAAGTCTATGATTTTTGAAGCAGATGAACTTTCTGACCTAAATAAATATGATGAGTCGAGAAGTGAGTGTCAAATGTGGCAAATATCAGTTTTCAATGAATCTGTGCATAAAAACTGTTAACCCTTGTGTGGTGTTGATGTGTTTGTTACTCAGTGGTCTATTGGACCCACCACATTATTGGTGTTTTAAATCAATACAGCCACAACAATTTATGTAAAATCACCAGATGTTTAAAATATCAAGTGTCCAGTGTAGGGTTCTCCTTTAGCAGCTGTAGCCAGTCAGCAGCCTGTCCATGTTGTCCACCCTCACACACACACACACACACACACACACATACATATACAAACACATACACACAGACATACACACACACACACACACACATCCAACAGCAGGCCATGTAGGAGGAGAACAGAGTGAAGGACACAGAACCTCCACACTTTTACCCCCCCCAGGTTCAGCCCAACACCACATGTGTAATATAAATGTGTGGGGGGTGAACAGAGTGAAGACACTGAAAATGGGTTATTTTATATGTTCTTCACAGAAAATGAGCAAAAACCAAGAATCTGAGGTTGAAATAATAATAAATCATATTTTTTCGTTTGGTAAACAGTGAAAATGGGTCCCACAGACCTGAACACTACACAAGTGTTAAAAACAGTTTAGAAATTATATGGGAAAATATAGTCTCCTCTCATTGTTTACTTCAGGAGTCTTATTTTTAACACTGTGTTAAAACTAACCCCTCTGTGTGGAAGCTGTACTTTAGCCTGGTTAGCTTTCACTATGAGTCTATTTTATTTTTATATGCTTCAAAAAATGGGCTACATTACAGCCGCCAAGAGATTAAAATGAAATAGGGTTGTATTCTGTGATTTACATTCTCAACTCTGTAATCAAAAAAAACGCAGTGAATCTCGAGAAACACATAAAGCTTTCTCTCTCTGACTGCTGTCAAATTTTTAAGATGATGCTATTATGGGACGAGGGGACCAAAAGCACATTGTACTCAAACCTGTTTAACCGTGACGTCACGTGCACATGCACTCTCTGCCACATTGGTAGAAACGGCCCAAAGGCACGTCAACTTTTGGCTGCTGCTGCTTAGCGACCTCATCACTTAATCCATTTTTCAGCCATAACACGGCGAGAGGTTTATATTGAATGTACCTCCCTGTTGAAAAAAGTCATGCAACCCATTAAAAGTGTCTGTTGGTTCCTGGTGGTTTTCATTAGTCACTATGGTGTTCTGTTTTTTCCTGATGGGCTGATATCACAGTGTAAAGGATTCTGATCGTTTAATCAGGTGTGACTGATTCCTCATCCATTTGATCGTTTCCAAATGGCCTCTAATGGCCAATTCCTGTTAGGAAGCAAAACCCTCAGCTTGGCTTTCGTGAGTTTCAGCAGTAGCCTGTTTGTTGTTTCTGTGAATAAACCCGGCATTCTTATCGTCGTGCTTTTATTTTGAAAGTTTCCATATTTAATTATCTTATTATCAGTATGACAACGTTAATATACAGTCAGTGTAGCTCTTGTTGCCCAGCAGTTCGTGTTTCGCTGTTTTTGCTCATAAAACCGACAAAAACACTGTCGTGGCAGAGCGGCACTGACGTCATTAATAGGCTGGCAGGGCATGTCAGGCTGAGAGAGCATGTCTGCAGCCAGACCTTCTCCTTTAACTACATACGTTTAAACTGCGTGAAGTTGTGCCCCACTCTCCCCAACACCTACCATGTAGGCAAACATTTCAGGTTTACAGTTACAGCTCATCTGTCTGTCTGTTTGGATCATTTCCAACACCGTAGATACGTAAACATGGTACAGGCATGGTAGCATGTTTGCCACTGTTTATGAGTTTATCAGGGACAGTGGTGGTCCTGGGGTTCTTCAAAAGCACCAGGCAACACACATCTATGTCAGTGTCTCTGCTGTGCTGAAAATGACCCCAAACCATATCTGGTAAGTAGTGGTCCTGTGGTGGTCCCTTTCCATTGATGGATGGTGCAAAAGCAAAACCTACACAAAAACATGGTTTGTTGATTTGAACGTAAGTTAAGAACCTTAAATACAGCATTTTCTGTGAATTCTAGTGCTTGATTTCTGTTTATTTGTTGAGTTTAACATATTGTAAAAAAATAAACATAAAATGTAAAATGTACCATAACTTTTGCACAGTCCACGATTGATGTTTTATTTATTCTAGTAGGTTAAATTCAACAAATGATTGCCATTTTTAATTAATTTGTGTATTAACTTGTGCAGAACTGTCTTCTCTGTATATATATATATATATATTACAACCTCAATTCCAAAAAAGTTGGGACGCTGTGTAAAATGTAAATAACTGTAAATAAAAACAGAATGCAATGATTTGCAAATCTTATAGACCCAAATGTTATTCACAATATAACATAGAACACATATCAGATGTTGAAAGTGAGATGTTTTACCATTTCATGAAAACTCATTTAGAACTTGATGGCATCAACATATCTCTAAAAAGTTGGGACAGGGCCGCGTCTACCATTGTGTAGCATCCCCTCTTCAGTCTGTGAACGTCTGGGAAGTGAGGAAACCAACTGCTGGAGTTTTGGGAGAGGAATGTTGTCCCATTCTTGTCTGATGTGGGATTCTACCTGCTCAGCAGTTCCTGGGTCTTCTTTGCCGGATTTTTCATTTCAGGATGCGGCAAATGTTTTCTATTGTTGAGAAGTCTGGCTCGCAGACAGGCCAGTTCAGCACCCAGACTCTTCTTCTTTGGCCCAGAGAAGACGGCGGCGTTTCTGGATCGTGCTGACATATGGATTCTTCTTTGCATGATACAGCTTTAACTTGTGTTTGTGGATTGCACGGTGAACAGTGTTCACAGACGATTACTTCTGGAAGTGTTTCTGAGCCCATGCAGTGATTTACAGTACAGAATCAGGCCTGTTTTTAATGCAGTGCTGCCTGAGGGCCTGAAGATCACGAGCATCCAATATTGACCGTCGGCCTTGTCCCTTGCATACAGGGATTTCTCCAGATTCTCTGAATCTTCTGATGATACTATGTACTGTAGACGGTGGGATATCAAAAGTTATCACAAGTTTACAGTGAGGAACATTTTTCTGAAATTGTTCCACAATTTTTAGACAAAGTTTTTCGCAGATTGGTGAATCTCTGCCCCTCTTTGCTTCTGAGAAACTCTCCAAAATGCTCTTTTTGTCCTCATGTAAGTTAGCTGCAAATTGCTCCTCCAAGTACCACTTACTTCTCCAGCCTTTTGTTGCCCCTGTCCCAACTTTGAGATGCGTTGCTGCCATCAAGTTCTACATGAGTTCATGTTTTTCATGAAATAGTAAAATGTCTCACTTTCAACATCTGATATGTGTTCTGTGTTCTATTGTGAATAAAATATGGGTCTATAAGATTTGCAAATCATTGCATTCTGCTTTTACTTACATTTATTTACATTTTACACAGCGTCCCAACTTTTTGGGAATTGAGGTTGTACTTTTGCTCATCCTCACCTAGTAAATGTTTGCCGGGGTGCCCAAACTTTTGCCTACGGCTGTTTATGGCATAGGTTCGAGGCAGGTGTACCTAAGAACGCGTCTATGGTTTGCACAGACAAGCAGAATCTCCATCAGTTCACACAGAGCCTGGATCAGGTGTGGTTCTGAAGTGAGCAGTAAGCGTTGCTATGATACAAGGAGTAGAAAGTGAGCAAACAAGCATGACAGAGACAACACACACACACACACACACACGTTTGTCTTGCTATACATATGAGGACGTCCATAGGTTTCTATTGATTTTTGTGTTACTAAATAGCTAAGTAATACTACACCTAAACCTAAACCTAACCTTAACCTTAACCTCAGTATCCAAAAGGCAGTTTTTCTGCTCTTTTAGTTTTCAAATAAAAAAGTAATTGTGGTGAAAACAACACATGCTCAAGTGGGTACCAGGAAAATGTCCTCACTTGGGCAAAAATTTCATGTAGTCCTATCGTAGTGAGGACAATACAAGAACAGACACACACATAAGACACACTGTCTTGCTATACATATGAGGACATCCATAGGTTTCTATTGATTTTTGAGTTACTGTAGCTAAATAATACCACACATAAACCTAAACCTAACCTAAACCTCAGTATCCAAAAAGCAATTTTTCTGCTCTTTCAGTTTTCAAAAAATTTCATGTAGTCCTATCACAGTGATGGCAGTGGGGTCCTCGCAAGTATAGTAATACACACACACACACACACACACACACACACACACACGCACACAACCTGCGATAACATACAGCAGTATGTAGGAGAGACTGTGTGCTGATCTAAGCAGGTTACTCAGTTCAGACTCCGGCAGGCCGCAGCACGATCCCTGACACGTATGGAATCCCTCCCTATTAAACCCCAATGTGTGTATGCACGTCTTACCGATGCTCCTCTTGCGTCTGGGGTGCGTGTACGAGCTCTTGAGGTCGGTGCCGTCGTAGAAACCCTCTTTAAGGTACTGCCATTTAGTCTCCTGAACTGCCTCATTCTCTGCACCAATCAGAACAACAGAACTCAGTTGAAACACCAATCAGCTCGGCTTCCAAAAGCACGGTTGCAGAAAAACGAACACATGAGGAAGTTCTGCAAAAAAACAAATAAATGTGCACTGTTTTCTGATTAGCATAAAGGGAACTACACGGCTACATTCATCACACTCGCTTATACAGTTTCGAAGCACAGAATAGCTAGAAACTAGCAGCAGCAGCCATCGTGAAACCTGAATTTCATCCATAGTTTCTGTCTGACTCTGCAGGTAACAGTACATCATGGAGTATTTTGTTTAAACAATAGAACACAGAGGGAGTGTTACCGCGAAATAACATCACGGCTGTGATTTGGTTGCTGTAGATCATCACAGCTGTGATGTTATTCGCGATAAAACACTCCTCGACTGTTCTATTGCTTTTATACAACAGTTAAATAAATAAAGTAATAAATTAATAAACTGGGCCGTGAACGCGGCGTTTAATATGTTTTAATGTTCGCAGTTCCTTCACCAAATTATAGTTCCTTAACAAGCAGCTTGTTGCTACGTCAGAGTAACGAGCTCCGCCCACTCGCTGCACAGCCGGCAGTTCGTTCTCTAGCTCCTTACACTAAATTCCCAAACTGTCACCACTGAGCAGCTTTTTTAGTTTTTCATTGCGTCAGTTTTATGGTTTAGTCTGATTTGGTCAGACTCTAAAGATCAGACTACACATTTGGCGAATGGTACTGGGTTCATTTCTGGCTGATTCCAGGTCGTTTAGCTGTTCTTCTGTCACGTTCAAATGGCTTGAGCGTCTCCGACAGCTGTCAAACTCAGCGTCTCAGTGGAGTGATGCAATGTTTGTGAAAAACCCGTGATGCCATGGTGAAATATCAGCACGGTTAGAATGCTTCTCAACCAATCAGCTTGTGTGGCCGGAACTAACTGTTGTACAAACATATTTATAGATATTTCAACACCAATATTCATAAACTTCTATTCATAAATAATATTTATACCCGGGCTGCCCAATTTTGTGCCCACAGGCTTATAGCCCACCAAGTACTACTGCCACATGATTGGCTGATTAGATAATTGCAGGAATGCACAGGTGTACAGCGTTTCCTAATGAAGTGCTGGGTGAGTGTATATTGTTTCGGTGCTTCTGCCGTAAATTTATGGCAATTCTTTACAGTACAAACATCTTTACTACAACGGTTCCTTTAAATCGCCTTCAGGGAGTCATGAAGGCTCAATCACAGAACCAGACCTTTACCGCTGCACCAATATGGCTACATCGTCAACGTGCAAATGCGATTTGTATGATAACCTTTTCAGCTGAGGTGTCAGTAACTCCATCATCACACCAGCTATTCCCACATCATGAATGAGGCTTAAGGCTATCGTGTAAAGATTAAGCTGGCTAAAATAAGACATGCATTTCTGTAACCTGATCAGACATGATCGGGGAGCTCAGACAAGCTTCCAGCTTGTGATCACTGACTAAAAACCATACAAATAAGCTCTCAATCCTGGTGTTTGGTCTTCAGGAAGAACAATCCGAGTCTTGGAAAAATCAGACTAAAGGAAGCTTGAGTCTAAACCTGGACTGTCATATACTGTAGCTGTCATAAGCTAATGCATACTCCAGTCATAGAGCTTGGCTTAGCACTGGGGACTAATGGAGCTCCAGAGTGTATTTGTTGAGTCTGGTAGAGGAGATTATGAATGCTTGAGGAGTTTCGAATGCTTGCAGAGTCTGGCTGTTCTTAAACACCATGGCTTGTGATCTAGATACAGATTATAGTTCGACTCAGGCGAAGAAGGGGTTTCAGTGGAGAATCTCCATTAAACAGTGCAGCAAGACAAACACTAGCCACGTTACATGCAGGCTATATTAATAATCAGACTAATAGCTCAATTGGATTAGAATACGTCCATGTATGCACTTCAATCGGAATAGACTAGTCCGATTGAGGCCATTCAGAATACAGTTTCTGATTGATCAAGGTTGGTATTCCTGTAAATAATCTGTTAAATAGAAGAATAATATCCGTGTAAACGCCTGTATCTGATTACATTCCCTATCGGAAAGTTTAAGTCCGTTCTGATCATGTTTGTCACGTCATAGTGAAAGTTTATACTGTTCAACATGGCGGAGCAGAAACTGGTCTGCAGAGGAGACGAAGTTTATGCTCTGATCTTTAAAAGACGGCGGTGGGACGGACGTCCAGTTTATGTGTCTCAGAACACGACGTCTTCCTCTCGGCCTTCTTTAATAAGGACATGTGAAGGACGTTTTCCTGAGTCTGACATCATTTTAAAGCAATTAAAAACACATGCGCTGCTCACTGCTGCTCGTCTCACTCTGACTGGACTCACGTGAACGCACGTCGTCATATTCTTTACTTCATAACTTTCATATTTCATAAGCTACATTCTAAAGGTGGGGGTCATATGAGAGCTGTAAGTGTCTTCTTTCCAGTCAAATAGATGAGGAATGTAATTTTAAAACTTTATAATAAAATTCTACTGAAAGTCGACCCATTTTTCCACAAATCTGAGCTACAAACTGGATCTCAGATGGCGTCTCTTCAGTGATCTGCACTGTAAAAAAACGTTTTTAGAAAAAAATACAAAGAGCGTCTACGATTTTTGGCTTTCAGCAGTAAATTGTAAGCATATGACATTATGTTTATCATCATAAAACACATTTTCTGTTAATTTGAGGGGAACTTTAAAAAAAAAAAAACAACAATTTACAATTATTTCATGCAGTTACTGAATAATTTGCCTTACCATTTGTTGATGTAAATTCAGATGGGAAAACTGAAATATACCCAGGAGAATGAGAGGTTTAAATACAGTAGAAATTGTTAAATACACTAATTTCCTATTTAAGTTTCCCACAACAACAGCATTTAAAATCATATGGTTTATTTGCGAGTTTGAACTGTGCCTTCAATGTATGGTTTTAGTATGAGGGAAGACTGTGTGATTGAGGGCAGTGAGAACAGTAACACTTGATGGGTGTCTACATAACACATTCATAACATCTTACATAAACACTTCATAACATGTTCATGAATGTTTAAATCAACATTTATAAAGTATACAAGTTTTACATTATATTAATATGGGCTACTATGCCATTTTACTGAGTTTTTTTTTCAAAATAAAGGTCCTCTTTTTTATTTTATTATTTCCAGTAAAACATCTCATTGCTGGACAGTCAAAATAAAAATGAGCTCGCTTTATCCCTTTGGTTATTAAGTGCTTTGACACTTAGGGATGTTTCACCTACTTTTGACCCCTTATTAATCATTTATTTTTCTTTAGTATATGGACAGAAAATTACTCATAAATATGCATGAACTTTTGACTGATTCTTAGCATGGTGGTGGGACCATAATACTCATCACATCCCTGTAGCAATTAAAAAATTCACATAACATGCATTTCAGACTGGTTCAACCACTTTTGAGGTAAAGGCAAAACAGGATTAATTCATCCTTTGGGATAACAGTGCTAGCATTTAACCCAAGGAGAGTTAAACTTGGAATAAATAACATTTTCCTCAACAATATACACAATAAAATTTTAAAGAAGACGAAGTTAAACGGATAAAGAATAACAAAGTGCAAAATAAAAATGCTTAAGAGGAAACAAATAATTAAAAAGAAGCTGAAGGTGTCAAATCACTTAATGACTTGATGAAATGAGGCATTTCACTGAAATTAGTACAGGTTTTCAAAAGAAAAAGAGGACTTTCATTTTGAAAAATGTCTCTCAGTTAAATGACATAATAGTCCATGTTAATATCATGTGAAATATGTTGATTTAAACATTCGCAAATGTGTTATGAAGTGTTTATGTAAGATGCTATGAATGTGTTATGTACACACCCTTCAAGAAAAGTGCTTCCGTGAGAACTTGGGCTAGAGATCTGGACGGCTTCTGCTTTTGGCTAGAAGGCCAGACCCCCCACCTTCTGATGAACGGAGGTAGCACTGACAGACAGAACTGAGGAAAAGAGAGGAAATGGGTGGGATGTGAAAACTTCATCACAGGAAACAGAAGGTAGAAACCGGAAACGTATAAGCCATTTCAATAAGAAACAGGAGTACAGGTGTTCATTTCTGTTGCAAAATCCTCCAAATATGCTGTAATTACAATAACTTGGATATCATGGAGATTAAAGGGAAGAGGGAGCAGGTAACTGCCATGGCAGTTACATTTTGAAATGACCAGTCAAGAATTTTAAGAAAGCATTTTGATTAGGCATTATTAGCAAATACAACCCCATTTCCAAAAAAGTTGGGACGCTGTGCAAAATGTAAATAAAGTGAAATGTTTTCCCATTCTTGTTTGATATAGGATTTCCACTTGCGCAACAGTTCAGGGTCTCCTTTGTCATATTTTTCATTTCAAAATGCACCAAATGTTTTCAGTGGTGACAGGTCTGGACTGCAGGCAGGTCAGTTTAGCACTCAGAGTCTTTTAATACGGAGCCATGCTGAATGTGGTTTGATATTGTCTTGCTGAAATAATCAAGGCCTTCCCTGAAAAAGACGTCGTCTGGATGGCAGCATATGTTGCCAAACATGTATATATCATTCAGCATTAATGGTGCCTTCACAGATGTGCATGTCACCCATGCCATGTGCACTAATACCCCCTATACCATCATGAATACTGGCTTTTGAACTGTGCACTGAAAACAAGCTGAGTGGTCTTTAGCCCGGAGGACACAGCATCCATGATTTCCAAAAAGAATTTCAAATGTTGATTCGTCAGATTCCCCTATATTGCCCACTGCCCTAGAATTCGACTGCTAGCTACATTCAGAGACACACATGGAACTCATAAATGTGCCATTCCAATCAAAACAGTGTGACAGCTTGCATCTAAACAGGATTAAACAGCAAATTCAGTGAAGATCCATCACTGGAAATCCTATTTCGTGCAGGACTAGCCTCATGGCATGTGTGGTGAGTAAGCACCAGCAGTGGTGCAGAAA